TTCCTTGTTATTCCCAGCATTCACTCCTGCTCTGGAATTACCCTGGGCAGGGCCTCTGGGACAAGTCTCCTGGGCACTATAATTTCCCTGGCTGCACTGTGTCATTAGACGATTTGGTGCTGATGACACGACGCCTGTACAAAGCAAAGATTACAGTCCCTGACAGGACAGGACAAGACAGCCTGGTCATGAAGCTATCCTCTCCCTGGCGAGATACCCCAGGAGCCACAAGCATCTTTAGCCTCCCATGTGAGTTCATGCTCCAGTGCAAGGGCTGTGGATTAGGCAGACTTGGTCTCACTCTACCACGCTCTCCCTGGGACTTCCACATTAGCCTCTATGTACTTACCTGCAAAATGGGTTAATGACAATATTCCTCTTAGAGACAACACAATGGAAATCACAGAGTGTTTGTCACATACTCGGCCATCCGTAAATATAGACTGTTGTTTTTATGATTGAGATCAACTGTGGCTGTTACTACCATTCTAGAAAGGAGAGTTCTACACTCACATTTTGAGAAAACTAACAAGAATGAGCTCTTTATTCTCCTAAGGGTCATAAAGTAAGTTCATAATTTTCTCCAGGACAGTAGAATTTGCTTGAAACTTGAATGTATGTATTTTTGCTGGAAAGTTAAGTAGTCATTAAACATGGATTCTTCCATGGACTATCCATGGAGTACCTACAGTGTGCTGGGCACCATTCTCGATATGGGGGGATATGGCAGTGGCTAGCACTTACACTCTGCTAGGAGAACTGATGGTAGCTAAACCAACAAACAGCTATAAGAAAATGTCAAATATGCATATAATAATATGATGTCAAACAGTACTGTGAAGAAGAATCCAGCTGATAGGAGAGATATGTGGTGGTGCTGCATGATGATTCTAATCATGTATTCACATGGGTCAGAGGTCTGCCATGAAAGTCCCACAGAATAAAATACCCAGGGTCTGGGGCTACCACTAATGCAATCCTGAGAAACAGCACTAGATCCTTCAAGGACCTGCATCCTCCCCAGTCTTTCAAAGCTTCTACTAAGACCACAGACCCTGGCTTACCCTTGGCTTCGCCTGGTTCTAGGCATGTGCGTCCATGAGAAAACCTTGCATCAGGCTTCTGAGTCCAGGTCTCTCAAACTTCAGACCGGCAACTATGAACTCCCGAGGAAGAGGGAGGCTCCCAACTCTTCCAGGTTTCTGTGACAGCCACTACATAGACCCTGCCACGAGCCCAGCCTGGCCCCCACACAGACAGAGTGCCCCCACCCACTCCTCACCCCCAGTCCCAGCCAGTAAGCCGTCCCTGAATTAATCAAAACGCTGCACTGGTCCAAACTCACCAGGGGCCTCCTCCAGCGGCCACTTTGTGTTCAGTAGATTAATTGCAGCTGGGGGAGGGGAGGGAATCCATTTTTAGAAAATCATTACTTTCAGAAAGAGAGGGGGGCACTTCTCGGGCTGGGGGAAAAGTGCTGAGCTGGCAGCTCTGGTCTGCTGCTGGAGCTCCAGGAAACTGGGGACTGTGCTGGCTGCTTCCAGCTCAGAGCAAACGCAGTGGCCTGGGCCCACACTCCTGAGACCAGGGTCCCCACTTACCAGCCGGCTGCTTTTGTGATCCCCGCATTGGATTCAGCAGTTTGGTGGTGTCCTGGCAGAAAGAGGTCATCCCAGTATTGACCAAGCCCCACATCAATGGACTGTCCCCCAATGGCCCCACTTACCCGCATACCACGCCGGAGCAGAGTCACCTGCCTACAGCTGCAGGGGAAAATGGAGGAGGGGGGCTATCTTTTGATTGAGCATTTAATAGATTTAACTGTATGAAATGACCATTTTTATAGGTCAGAATGGTTAGGTATTGGCAATCTCCTGTGGTTAGCCCGCTCTTCACATGTATTTTCTCAACAGTCCCATCCCAGCCCCATGAGGCGGGTACAATGGCTGCCCACTTTATGTTTCAGAAACTGAGGCTCAGCCATAAATGATAGTGCACACCTGTAACCCCAGCACTCTGGGAGGCTGAGGCAAGAGAAGGCTCAAAAATTTGAGCCCAAGGGCCAGGGATATAGCTCAACAGCACAAGCACCTGCCTGGTAAGTGCAAAGTCGTGAATTCAATTCCTAGTATAAAAAAAAAAAAAAAAAAAAGAGCCCAGCCTGGACAACCTAATAAATCTTGTTGTCACTGTTTGCCTTTTGAGACAGGTTCTCCCTATGCAGTCCAGGCTGGCCTCCAACTCACGGTGTTCCTTGCCTTGGCTTCCTAGGAGCTAGCGTTAGAGGTATGCATCACCATGCCCAGCTCCTGTCTCAAAACTTTAAAAGTTAAAAAGAGTTGAGGATGTAGCTTAGTGCAAAATCCCTGGGTTCAATCCCCAGTACTATGAAGCAAAAAAGAAAGAACGAAGGAAGGAAGGAAGGAAGGAAGGAAGGAAGGAAGGAAGGAAGGAAGGAAGGAACTGAGGTTCAGAAATTGCCCAAGTACTCAAATACAGGTCTCCAATTCTCAAGAAACATCCACGTCCTGTTGCTTGTCAGATCTTCTACTCAACCTGTTCCCAGCACATCTGCAAGGACAGTTAAGAACTGCACTTCCTTCACACTGTTTTGTTGAGAACACAGAAACTGACAAAGGCTTCTGTGAGTTGAAAGTTGGGGCTTGACTGACCCATCAGGAAGCCGGGGTTAGCTAGGAGCCTAGATGTAACTCCAGCAACAGGCTGTGTTGGGACAACCCCATGCAAATGACCATGCCTCCTCTTGGAGAATCTGGCTCTTTTGGGGTCAGGAAGGTCTGCCTGAATTATCTGCAGCTGCGGGACAGGATTGCATGAGTCTGTAAAGACTCTTGGTGCATTTGAATGCTTGTGAGTGATGAGCATTATTTCTAGTGTTCAGTAGTCAGATAAGCTTGGTCCTTCCAAACCACTCAGTCACCCCTTGATCCCACCCTACCCAGAGATTAGCTAGCACAGATGATGAAATCTGACTTGGATACTAAGCAGCTGGGGAACCTTGAGCAACTCTGGATGTTTCCCAGTTTGTAGAGTGGGTGGGGGAATGGGTAAAGCTCTACTGGTAGTGGTTACAAAGTTTCTATGGGAGGATCCCTGTGTAAAGTGCTTAGAACTCTGTCTAGTTCAGTCAATGTGTGATCTTTATATTTTTGTTCCCAGCCCATGGTAAATCCACAGTTCTGCCTCTTCTTCCCTCAGATGTGGCACAGACCCAGCACATGCCCTCCAGTGATGCTGGAGGACAAAACCTAATGTGGTTGCCAACAGCAGTGTTCTGTACGGGGGTAGCACTGCACTCAGGAAATGACTTGGGCGATGGCCTTCTGCCTGCAAAATTTAACTTCCAGCGAGCAGTAGTCTCCTGCAGACCATCCCTCCTTCCTTGCCCCTAGCTCATTAAAGTCAGCCATGCCACCCCCACCCCAGGAATCTGCATGCTCACACCCCAATTCCAGATTCCCTCTACATGCCCCAGAGGCCCTGCTTCAGCAGGGCCCCGTGGAACAGGGCCCTTTCTTCTCCTGATTTCAAGACCTCCCTTACCACTTCCTTCCTCGCTGCGTGACCTTGGGCAGAGGACTTAGCTTCTCAAAGCCTCCATTTTTGCAGAGGGTCCTAGAGGATTAAATGATAATTCCCCTAACTGGCTAGCAGCATGCCTGGCACCCAGTGAAGCATTCAGTAGAGGGTAACTGTTATTATTATTGAGGAGCTCCCTGGCGTACTGATGCAAGTTAATGCAAACCAAAATCACTCTGACAGCTCCACAATGTTAGCACCTACCGTCCCCACCCCTCCTCCACCACCACCACCCTGTAGTTAATTAGAACCCTCAAGTATTTTCCAAAGATCAGATTTTACACTTACACCAACTTATAGAAGGAAAGGCACAGAGGTGGGTTTTGCTTCAACTGATAAAAAAGCCAAACAAACTGCTTTGCAATCGTGAGCGAGACCAGGTGAGAATTTGGCTTTAATATTCTGAAGCATAAATCAATACATATTAATATTTCTTGCTGCACAACTGTATTCTAATTCCCTTTAGTGAAATAGTGATGCAGTAGGCTGTGGTGCTTTTGTGTCATGACTTGGAAAGACTAACAGTTCTACACCAGCCCTCCAAAAAGGATTTTTAAAAAATTTGTACTGGAGACCAGGCATGGTGGTGTACACCTGTAATCCCCGCATTCAGAAGGCTGAGGCAGGAAGATTGCAGTGAGTTCCAGGCCTGTGTGGGATACATAGTGAACTCAAGGCCAGCCTGAGTTACACAGCAAGACTCTGTAACTAACCAACAAAATATGGTATGTACTCGTTTATGGTTATCTGAGATTTTAACCCTCCAAAGGAGCCCCCTTCCTAGACCCAGGGCTCTGAAACTGACACAGAGGCCCTTGCCCCACATAGCCCTCAGCTTCATCCTCCCAACACATGCAGAATCAAACTAAGGAGGCACCAGACAAAAGGAGGGTTGGGCTAACAGTGGAAGTCTGGCAGGCAGGGGAGCAGATGCAGAGCCCCAGAACATTACCCAGGAGAAACACAGGGACGGCCAAGGGCAGGGGGGGGGGCGCACTGCAGCCCAGGTACACAGTTCTCCAAAACTTCCCTCCCACTGATAGAGGCAGGAGGCTCAGGATTCTAAGCCAAGTGAGGAGTCATAGCCAGAACCTGATCAATGCTGGTTTTGGGGACACTACTTTCCCACAAACTCCTCAGATGACATGGCCTTTGCACAATTCTACAAACTTCAAGCAATCAGCCACAAGGGCTCCCTGAGGTTGTCTTGCACTACAGACTTACCTGGCCAACGTTGGCTTGGCCACCTAACAAGAGGGTGGAGTGTACTAGTCTGCAGGGGAAGGCTGCTCTAGATGGCTCATTTGTGTAGCTCCCCACCCTCATCCTCAATCGATAGTTCGGATAGCCACCTCTCCCCCCAACCCAAGCAGAAGAAAAAGGAGCTAGAGGACATGAAATCAAGTATACACTTTAAAAATTGTTTAATGGAACATAAACTCCTTTAGAAAAACATTCAGCTAGGTGATAACACCCATAGAAAAAAACACCAATCTTGTGTTTATCTTTTTTAATTTGGCATTTGTTATTTGCATTTATATTAAAGCAAAGTGCATCTTTTATTTTTCTTGTTTATACACATTGCACAATACATAAATAATGATGCTTATAAAACGTCTTTATATTTACAAGTAATAATATATTTATATATAACATAAAATACATTTTTCTTTAATAAATCTCAGTTTTTTTCAGGAGTCCTTTTTCTCTCAAAGCACTACAATGCTAAATTTCCAATGAGAATGCTTCTCTTGTTTATTTAAACCTTTGTAGTTAGAAAAATAGCTTATGTTAAAGTCTAAACATGCTCATTGAGCTAAGAACAGTGTCAAAGTATCATACGAGTGTATGAGTTGTAGAAGAAATGACAGAAGAGTTAGGTGTCAGCCGAGGATGGTACCTTGGGTTATGATGGACCAAATTCCTCCTGGTGGGAGGGAAGGAGGCCACTGAGCAGGTCCCTCCCGGGGGTGCCCTCTTGCTGGTCTGACTGCAGACCTCAGCACGCAGGATGGGGAAAGGGAGGGACGTGCTGAGCTGGCTTGGGGAGTCTGGGAGAAACCTGAAAACTAGGGCAGGGGAGAGGCTGAGAAGCCTGAGAGGGCACTGGGGGAGCAAATACTGTGAACACATGACAGGGCTGCCCCGAACAGCCCTCGGGAAGCCCATCTCAGAGATCCAGGAGCAGATGGCCATAAAAGACAGACATTACAATGGCAGCGGGGTGGCGGAGGGGAGTAAGACAAGGATGAAAACGATTGGTTCTGGTTCAGCCTCTACCAGGCTTGCTTCTCAGAAGCCTGTGGATAGGCCTGTGTCCTGAAGGGGGTGAGGCGGGGTGGGGGCTTCCGCAGGCTGGGGCAGAGCCTCGCTCCTGGCAGCTGCTGGGATACCTGCTGCCAGCCTGGCCAGGTACTGCCTCTGCCCCACTGAGCATGTCCAAAGGGCACAAGAGACACAGCTTGGAACCGCAAACCTCTCAGCTGGGGACATCCATAAGGACACAAAGGCTATGTTGATCTCCCCCATCTGTTGTTCGTGCACACACACTCAAGACACACTCACACTCGCGTGTATACTCCTGACAAGTGAAATGCTGACCCAAAAGTGATGGGACTGCTCCCTGCTCAGACACTGTCTAGCGGTGCTGACTTTTGCTTCCCCTTTCCCCATGGGATGATGACTTGTCCTGCCAACCACACTTGCCCCCTCAAAAAAAACAAAACAAAAAAAGAACCCCACAATTCTTTTCATAAGCTATTTCTCAAAGAACATAACAAAAACACAAACAAGGACAAGAAGAAAAAAACCCACCAACAACAGGGAAAAAAATGATCAAAGAGTCTGCATGGAAAGCAAGCACTCGGGAGGAAAAGATTAGCAGCAAAGTAGTTTGAATGGTGGCCTCTCGGCGCGCTCGTCCTCTCCCCAGTGGCTACCGGCTGTTGAAGATGACCTCCAGCCAGCACGGGCAGCTACTGATGAACTGGCGGGTGTAGCACTGGCCCCAGCCCTTCACAAAGCTGATCTGCACAGTGAAGCCCGTCCATGGCTGCTGCATGAACTCGTGGTCATTGGGCCGCTGCAGGCTGTATGCTTTCTCATAGTCGAAAGCCTTGATGGAGAAACCGGGGAACACCTTGTGCACCAACAGCGTCCTGGAGTCCGGGTTGTCCAGTGTGGCGGACTTGATGAAGATGGGGTAACTGCTGCGGTTGTACACCCACACGCCATCCACTTCCCGCGTCAGCTGGATGCCACAGCCGATTTTGCTCCGCACTTTCTGCACCAGCTGACTCTTGTTGTCCGAATTGAGCTGTCCGAGGCAAAAGCCATTCCCCTGAGGTAGATCATAGAAGATATCCAGGGAGGGCTCCTGGACACAGTAGAGCCTCCCCACTCTCGTCTTCTCCTCCCAGTATGCCACCACGCACCAGTGTGACCGATCCCCAGGCTCCAGAAGAAGTTGGGAATCTAGAAAACAAAACAAGAGGCAGGGTTAATGGACATGCAGACTGATGATTCATCTTCCCGCTACAACTGAGGAACACACAACCCTAGAGCCAGCATGATGGTCAACCAGGACTCGTTGCAGGCTCTGCTATTACCCTAACTGGGTCATGGAGGTTTTCATTTAGCAAAAGACCCCAGCACTTCTCTCAGCATGGGGCTCCCAAAGGTGCTTCCTCCACCTCCCGTCCTGTCAGGAATTCAAGACATCAGCTGCTGTGACCCCTTGGCCAAAGTTAGTTCCGTTCTTTAGAATACTGAAGCCAAAAAAACACCCCCAAACGGCCTAGAATTACAGGTCTCCCAGTGAGATGAAGCTCTGAAGTCCAGCTCCTCCAGCCTCTTCATTGCAAGCTGGGATCTACACAGCAGGGGTACTCAGTGATAACCCAACCAGACATACAGAAGCCAGCCCACTCAAGACTCTACAACCTATTCTATAATCTGCACTTGTCACCAAAGCTCTCCAAATACCTCCTTGGTCATAAGGGAATCCTAGGGCCAGTTATTTAGCTCAGTGCCTGCCTAGCAGGCCCAAGGTCTTGTGTTCAATTCCTGGTATCAGAATAGGGGACAGACCTCTATCTGGTGAAAATGGGAGTAGTTTGGTGCGAAAAAGTCTCTCTATAACTTCCTAGCAGAGAAACAACTCAATGTATCTGCAGGAAGTCAGCATGCAGAGGGTTAATTCATGTCAAAATGCCACATCACAACATACAGGTGGGCACTAACCCAGATGACTTTATTAAAGCATCCTTCAGCCCAGCCAGAGATGTGTGATGTATCTAAGATGAACAGGTGACACCATGCTTAAAGTGCTCCTTCTCTGCCCATCCGCAGCCCCCTCCACAGGTGCCCTCTTTCCCCTTCTCTCTCAGACTGACCCTGCCTGGCTCTGCCACTGCCGATTTCCGAGATACCCTCCCCTGCAAGCCCTGGCCTGGCTTTCCTCCTCAGCTCTGCACAGCAGCCTGGGAGAATTCCGATTAGGTGATTTTTCCTAAACAGGCACCTCAAGGACTTGGGGGAGGGGGGTGTCACAGGGAGGAAAAAAGACCCCTGCACACCTCACTGCCTCCTTAAGTTGAAGCCAGTTTTCGGTAGGCCTCAAACTGGGGATCATAAATCTTTCCAGCCCAGCCAGGCTGCAGGAACGCTGTGGTTTGTGGCGGCAGGGTGGAGACCGGAAGTCTTGTATTTGTTAACAAAAATGGGGAAAGGAAGGGGGAAAACGGTGAGAGAAAAAAGCAGACCCAGGGTCAGAAGGCTCATGCTGTTTTCTCTTACTCCGGTGAGTCTAGGGGAACCCCAAAGGTGGGGGCTTGAGAAGTGTTTTGCTGTGGGCGCTTGGTTTCTGAGGACTGGTATCAGACACTGCTGATGAGGGTCGGTCCCTGCAGGACCCTGGGGACTGTCAGCTCTATCACCCCTCTTTCAAGCAATAGCCAGCTTTGGATGAAAGTGTAAGGCTACAAATGTACACAGTGACCAGCTGAGCACCAAGCAGCCATCCCCTACAGATACCAATGACCTTTCCGATGAGTGCCTGGACAGCTACACAGAAAGAGGAAGCCAAGGACTCTTTTTCCCTTGATCCCTTACGCGACACAAAATCTGCAAATCAGCACCACAAACCTGGCCTGTCACTGCCCCCAACCCCTGCTTTATAAATTACACATCTGTATGAGACTGTGTGTGTGTCCATGGCGTAAGGGCATGAGTATGTGTGTGTATGTGAGGGGGTGTGTGTGCACACACAGGAACATATGGAAAAACAACAGAGGGGCAAGGGCTCAGAGCAGAAGGTGACTCATCAGGCATTAACTTGTTTCTGCAAAGTATCCATCAACTGCTAGTAAACTCGTGAGTGCAGGCAATCTTTGAACTTCCCTGCCTCAGAAGCCCAGCTCCGAAAGGGTACACCACAAAGCCAACCCGACCACAGAGGTAAGAACATTTCAAGTGTGCAAAACTGTAGAAAAGTGCAGGCTGCCGTCTGCTTGGAGGCACTGAGTGACCCTTTGCAGGAAAAGAGGGTGTTTTGAAATAAACGCCAGAATCTCTGTCTTGTTCGGACTCAGGACAACAAACCTGGCCAGGAAAGGAAGACTTGGGAGTGGCTGAGGGGCTGAGGGAGAGAGAACCTCCATGGAGACTCACAAAGCTTTGTTTCACGGACTGCAGCCCCACTGAAACAGGGCACTGGTTGGCAGGAAGGAGGAGCACAGGAGGAGAGCGGGGCGCTGGTTGGGCAGGGGCCCAGAATCGAACTGCCCCCCTGCCAGGACTGCTGGCCACCTCAGCCAGGGGTGGGAGCCTCATGGCCAGGCAGGCCTCTCTAGGGGCAGAGGACATGGGTGAGGCAAGGCCCCAGGCCTGTGGGGGAGGAGGGAGAAACACGCGTCGGTTTCTCTTTCATCTGCACAGCCAGTCTACCCAGCAATTTGCTGCCAGACAGCCCCTGAAAAAAGCTTTTTTTGGTTGAGGTTAATGGCCCAGCCCAGATAAACAGCAGCATGTGGGTGTCCCTACATGTGAACCACCCCCTAAAAGTGGGTGCAGTGCAGTGATCCACCACAGGGAGACCCCTCGCTTGCACTTCCATGCCCCTCTACACTTCAAGTGCCCCACAGGGCAGCTCCACACCCCTCACTCCTACCCACAGCATTTCTGAGCAGAAAACATAATCCAGTAAACCCACTCAGCATCTTGGAAGAAGGCTGCCGTAGCACACAGTCTTGCACCCCACCTTTGGGGTCCTACACAACATCCCACACACTGCCATAGAGACCCACCCACCTTCATGTGTCCTCAATTGCCCTAATTTGGGCTCACTTCTGGGAATCACCCAGCATCATCTTCACAGGAACTACTCCCAGAACGGGGCCCACAGCCCACAAGAGCTGCCCACAAAGGTCAGGGTAGACCCTCTCTCCTGGGGCTTCCCGGACCTGTGGCCAGGGCCTTAGAAGTGTTGGTCATCACAAAGACTGAGTCTCACGGGCCAACTCTGGCTTCTCATTCTTGCTGCCGACGCTTAACCTCCCAAGGCAAAACTCATGGTCCCTTGTTAATTTCCCCCAGCTTTATAACTTTTTCCGGTATTTTCAACTCCTTCCCCTCTCCAGAAAACTGTACAGGGGCTTGTTTTAAAACTGTATGTGTTCATTTGAAAGCATCCAAAAAGAAAAGCTGTGTTGTAAAAAGCTCACTAATCAGATGCCTGCTCACAATTTTTTCTTTTTATTACAGTTGAGGGAATTTTTGGAGCAACACCAGAAAAATGCTGAATCTGCCTAAAATTCCGTTAAGGTGTTTCCCCTTCCCCCCCTTCCTCATTTTCTTTAAAGCATAAAATCTTCCCTTTAAGGGGAAGGGGGAGGTGGGGGCTCAGAAGGGGGAGGATTTTGCCTGTGTCTGCTGGCAGGGCTGGGGAAGACTGCTCAGCCAGGGGCTCCCTGCTGGTGGACAAGGAGGCAGTTAATTACCCTGGTCATGAATGAACAAACCAGACCCTTCTAGACCAGCAGCTCATGAATGACTCTTAGGCCTCAGGTCTCAACCGCACAGGGTGACCAGATCCCAAGGCCACATTTTAGGTAAGCAAGAAATTTTCCCCTTGGAAGGTGAGAGGAGATGAGGAAGAAAAACAAAGGGAGAAAGAAAGGCCAAGTTCAGGGCCTCAGGAGTACCACTGTTGGACTCTAGTTTGGGAAGCAGCTGACCATGAAGCCAGAGAGATGGAGCTATTCGGGGAACATCTGTGAGATTCTGAGAACACGGATGTATATGACACTGCAAGTCCACACACAGAGGAGATGTAACAGTGACAGAAGTTCCCAAAATTAAAGCCTCAAGGATAAGGAGACAAAGCCTGTGTGGTAGAGCCACAGCAGCTGGCACCACTAAGGCCAAAGTGCCCAATTAAGTCAGGTGCAGTGGTCCACGCAGGAGGAAGAGGCAGAAGGACTCTGAACCCAAAGCCAAGCTGAGTACATACAGAAACAACAGAACAATGCCGGGCACAGTGGTGCACCTCCATAAATCCTAGCTAGCACTTGAGGCCAACCCTGGGCTATGCAGATCAAGTAGTGTGAACTAACTACATAGAGACCAGTCTCCAAAAAAACATAAAACCATGGCCAACTGCCAGAGCCTGGGGGTGGGGGAGGCACCAAAGTAACAGACAGCACAGGAGGGGTCTCATCTCCCCAGGTGCTCGGATTATTAGGCTGCCAAAGTCAGTGGTGTGAAGGGCCACCAGCCTCTGCAACAGTCCAGGAGAGCAGACCCTGACCATGGAAAAGCCAAGGTGTAAAGTAGCCTAGGCAGAAACACCACCTCCAGTGGACCTCTCCACGGGGATCAGGAGCAAATGAAGGACAGAAATGTAAACACAAAGGCTCACACCCAGCAACCCCTGAAGGCAAACATCACTACAGTGGGTCCAGGTTTCTCTCTCTCCTCAGGACCCAGGTGCCACCAGCAGCAGGCCCATCCTGTCCTTTCCTCCCTGTGCTTCCCTTTGGATCAGATATCTCAAAGGTGAACAGCACTGGTGCCCTAATGCCCTGCTCCTCACCCCAGTCAGGAGGCTGACTGTTTGATCTCACCAAACTACTTCAGAGATAAGAGCTGAGATAAATACAGGGGGGACCTGGCACCCATACATCCAGTCTACTCTCACCCCACATCATCAAAATAAGGATGTTTGTCTCTGCTTTCCAAAAGGCAAAGGACCAAAAAGCAAAGCCAACATGCAAAGTGGCAGGGAGGCGGGACATGCTTGCACCCTCACCCAGGTCTTGCATGGAGACAGTGCCCAGGAACCCAGAAGGCTCCGAGGGCAGCTTGGACAGCTCCAGGGTTCAGAGCAATTACCCATAGAAACTCAAGCAGACTCAGGATAACTCTGTTACAGAGAAAATGCCGGGACCCATCATTGCCACCAAGTGCTCTTTAAC